ATGTACTAACCAACGCATAAATTGACTAAGTTGGAGACGCCCACCATTCACATGCAAATAAATCAATTAAAAAAAATTAACAACACAAGAAAACAGCAGTTTGATGAATTTCCCTGTACATCTTTATTCAAAAAGGTAAACAAAAGAAACTCATGACAAGGAAAGTGAACAACGAACAGAGAATGAATAATGAGTATGGATGAAGCAAAAAAATCAGAGGGTTTCTTACAAATGTCATGTATAACGAGAGTTAATCTCATACATTGTAAAAAAAAATGAAATATAGAAGATACAAACTTTTAGCGATACATTAAAACGATGCAAAGTCTTCCCAACATGTCTAACACGATTTGCACATTCTTAAACTTTGAAAACAAACCACGGTAAAACTAAAAAAAAGAACACACCAACATGCTTAGACAGCAGGGCAGGCACTGGGCGAGGGAAGGAGGGGTTAGAGCAGGAACGAGTCGGCCCGGGAACAGAACACTGAACAGGCCGACAGAGACGCCACGACCAACTTGTTCGAGATCAGGTCAGGGACTGCTGTCTCAGACAGACAACCAAGAATTTTTTACATTTCGGCGCATGCGCGCCGAAATGTAGTAAGACGGATTCTATCCTTCTTTCTTTGGTAGTTTGGTAATACTGCAGGCCATGCAATACCTCTTAACTTCTTTCCGGTTTGTGGCATAAGCAATAGACTTGCTGCCATTTTAATCCATGTTCTTTACAAAAAGAAACTTTATGTAGTAACAGTCTCATCTAGTGACATAATATTGATCGAAGTATGGTTGCATAAGTTTTTAGGCGCTAATTTATTGATCGTACCACAAATCTAAAGATAATTGCATAAATTATGTTAATGACGACAATAATGCCGCCTGTCGCTAGATGACGTTGTTGCATGTCCTGGCGAAGTTTCTCTATTATGTTTGCACTTTTATGTTTGCCTGTTGCATTGTTCTTACTCAGGAATGTCAATACGTTTGATACTTACTCTGTTTAAAGACGGGCTTTCATGTTTCAATCATAATTCGCTCGGACCTGCCCAATTTTCTCGGATGGCTATATATAAAGTATGTTGTTTAGGCGCTCCACAATGACTTAATGAGATAGCTCAACGAGTAGAGTTGCTAGATGAGTGGCGATGCACGTGGCGGGGTCTAGACATTGAGAGTTCGATCCCCGGTGAAGAACTTTTTTTTTAATTTTCTTTTTTTTTAATTTTTTTTTAAATTTCTTTTTCTAATTTTCTTTTTTTTTAATTTTTTTTAATTTTCTTTTTTTTATTTTTTTAATGTTCTTTTTTTTAATTTTCTTTTTTTGCGGTGCACGTGGCGGGGTTTGCACATAGCGAGTTCGATCCCCGGAGAGGAGCTTTTTTTAATTTTCTTTTTAGCAATCGCTGTTTTGCTTTTAACACTCAAAAACTAATTGTTCAAGTCCCGACGTATGGGTTTTTTAAATTTTCTTTTTAACATCCGCTGTTTTGCTTTTTTTATCAGATGTGTTTTCTTCTTTAAGTGGTCTCGTACCAATTTCATCAACTTGGGTAATATCATTTCAACAACTTCTACCTCAATAACGGCAGTAAAACCTTCGTCAGCCGAAATGTCAGCTTTTTTTAAAAGCACTTGTTTACCCAAAAACAGAAGGCATTGTGGGGCTAGGAAGGTGTTGTAAACCATGACAAGAACCACCATGCATATTTCACATAAGGCTGCGAGAAGTAGCTCAGCTGCAATTCATGAATGAGAACAAAAGGACGTACTACAAGCTATGATGTTGTTGGTAAGGTTTCTAGGAAAACAAACTGGTGGTTTTTGAAGAAAACAAAACATGATTGTGTAAAATGTATTTCTTCTGCTTCGGAAAGATGGCCATGTTCTAAGTCAGTTAAAGGATGGGCGAATTGCTCGTATATGTGGATTTGGTACAGCCCCGCACCCCCCTCGGATTTTGTTGGCACCCCTCGGGCTCCGCCCTCGGGATGCCAACAAAATCCTTGGGAGGGCGGGGC